CCTTCACTGGAGCTCGGTGAGCTGGGAATTAGACAAATAATGCTGAGGATGGTTGTCTTTTGAAGATAAAATTATTGCACTGTAGCTCTGACCTTGATCAGATACCCTCACAGTTGTGCTTAGTGCAAGACGTCACTCCGTAGAACAGGAGTCTGTATCTGAGCCTGTCGCCTGGGCTTCCTTATGGAGAAAGGCAGGGACATTCCTAGGACATCTCGCTCAGCTCAGCTGAACTGCACTTTAAACCTGCTTATTTTTACTGACTAGAAGTGCATCTTAGAGCAACTGGGTCTGACAGTAATCTGCACCCTATGTATTCGTACTAGGTGACCTGAACCCTTGCCACAAGGCATGGGATTAATGCAGAGTATGAAATGTAGGCGTGCACGGAAATTTTAGACATAGTTTCTGGTAGCGAGGTAACCATGGGATGTTAGATTCACCATTCTATGATCTGGCTGTCCAGACTCCTATCACTTCTCTGCTGGGGATATTTTTCAATCTTTATTTAAAATTAGCACAAAGACATACTGTGTCTGAATAAATAAGATTCTCTGCCCTATATGATAGTGTTACACCTTTAAAGCAGCAAAAAAGACTGGCTTCCAAAGTCAGTCTTGCCTACCATTTATATTACCTCTGAGGAATAAATTTATCATATTCCTACTGTAACGATAGAGGAAAAAAGTGGAGTAAAAGAAAGTTATCCATAAAAATATTGAACATATTAATATATACTTAACACAGAGTAGCTTTACTCTTTTCCCAAGAACAGAAATTGTTCTAATGGATCAGACTACCTCAGTGTAGTTCTAAGTCAGACTCACTTGCAGTGCCAGGTGAAGTCAGAAGCTTTAGAGGAAAAGAAAACTAGATGGGCAGGCGCAGGTAACTAGTGCAGTAGAGCTTCCATTGCCAGGGAATAAAAACTCCTTCTGTTGATGCCACTGAGTATCCTTTCCAAATACTTTTTTTTTCCATTAACAATATTCTGACTAAAGTGCTTATCACTTCTATAAACACTTGAGTCACTTCTAAGTTAGAAGTGCTAACTTCGTGCTGAGTTTTTTAACGCACTTAAGAAAAAATTATTGCTGAGGCTCTCATGAGCTGGCCCAGTGCTTCGCACAGAGTGGGACTCCTTAAACAAGAGCAGTGACGCTGCGATCTGCATTTCTGGTATTGCAGAGCTCGCCTGCATAGTTAGGGACTGTGCTCCTCTGTACACAGTTCCACACCCTGCCCTCACTTGGAGTCAAATTTTAGAGAAACTTTTCACTAGACTCCATCTCTCCATGTCCAAAAGATGGGCAAGTTGTTCCATTACTCAAGAGAAAAAAAAATAAATAAATAAAACAAGACAGTTCAATTTTCTTCAGTAAACCATGAGCTGCACCCCTCCACTCCAGTGTCACCTGCAGCTGAGCGTAGGTAGCTCGGATATGGCTCTGCCCGTCCAGAATTCACTGACCTGAGATTACTGCGTGTCTTTATCCTCCCTGCGTTGCAGCCCGTTTTTGTGCTCCTGCTGCAGTCAGTGCTACCATCTCAGCCCACGTAGACATGCCTGAGCTGGCCAAAAAGCTTATAAATGCACAGCTAGGTTTTAGCTGCTGTTTGAAATTATCAAAATTCAAAATATTCAATACAGAAAACACACAGGTTGCAGATTTCTAAAATGTAATTTTTTCCCATTTAAAGAACAGCTAGAGTCCCTTTTCCTTTGCTGTGAGCCTGGTCACAAGCAGATTCATCCACAGTAATAATATAGTGTTAAAATTGCTTTTATAAACAAAATATTTTTATTAGACTTGGACATGGGTCATTTTAAACCAAGAGTTAAAATACAGCTGATACTAAACTATTGTTTCACATCATTTCATTACAGTTAAAATTACTAAAGAATAACCTTGAGAGATAATATTTATCTGAAAAAAAGCTGTTTAAAATATAGGTGGAATTTCTTTTTCTTATTTAGTGTGTTTTGGCAGTATAATTTAAACTAGACAACATATCTCCCACTGCATATTCACTGAGCAAAAGCAACTGAATACACAGTGTTTCACTAATTTATTTCCATTCCTGGTGTGGAAATGACTCCATGATAATACCTATTTTTCCATTTCTGTAAACACAATTAACTTTCGCCAAGCTTACCCAATAGGAGTAAGAGCTCTATCCAATAAAACCAGCTTGAGAATTCAGAGATATTCCAGATGCTTAATCCAGTTTACTGCATAAGTGTTTCTAAGGACACCCCAGATAGAGAAATCCATTCCCTTATTTATTTTCCCCTTTTTTTATAGCAGCATCAGAACAACACTGGCCTATGTTGAACAGATAGTCACATACAGCCTGGTCCAGTACCCTGCAGCTTGGGCAGAGTGGCAGAATTAGGGGGTGAAAAAGCACCTTTGCGTGTGGCTTCTACAGACCACACATCACCTGAGCATTCAGTTATATTATTTTTTTTTCCATGATTCATTCCTAGATTAAAGAAAAAGGCTGGCCATGTGTAAAACAAAGAACAGTCTCTTCTAACACAAGAGACCTTTTATACAATATGTAAGCTCAGCATCTTACTTCAGAATGATGAAATGTCATGAGACCATAAGCCTCAATTTACACAGGCAACAAACAAAAAGGCAACTGAATATCTATCCTTAAAGCCCACAGACAGAATTGTAAATTATTACTATTTGTCACTTTTTATCATGGGCATATTGAGACGTTTCATTCAGACTTCAGTTCTTTTACCCTGATGCTGTGCAAACAACACAGTTATACTATTAACTATTTCAGGACGCTACTGTAATTATAAGTTGTTTTTTTGGTATATGATGGTATGCTTAAGACAGCTTACTTCAAACTCGATTATGTTTTCAGAGATCCATCTAATTTTTGGATACATTTTGTTCTCTTTTTGCATAATGTTTCTTGCAGGCTCAATGTTATTTCTCAGCCCTGGGTTATAAGGCATGTTATCATCAATGCTTCTCTGTGCATTTGATTGCTTTGCTCAGCTAAACCACAGAGACTGTTTTTGTCAGTGTTCACGTTCCAGTGCAAAACAAAACCTTATCTTAGGCCTCTTACTTCAGGAAGGAAAGGTGTGTCCAGCCTGGCTCACATTACACGTGGCAACTTGCTACCTACTGGATCACTTTTAGCACATGCCCATTTCCTCATAGCTTCAAGTAGAGCCTCCTCTGTTCACCAATGTCACGAACATCTCAAAAGTCCTGGTTATCTAACTCAAAGAACCTGGATGGGTTTACCCGTATAAAGGGCAATCTGATGAAAGGGGTTCAAACCACAAGGAGTATTTCAACTTTCTTCAGTGTACAATCAACCTACTTTGATGCAGCTTAAACTGTTTGCCAAGCAATTTAACCCAAATCAAAAACTGCCTCCCCTGAACTGGTCGCTTCATGAGCAGACTTACGTAATGAACCCATCGATACCTGTGACAAGATAAAGGTCTCTCTCCTATAGAGAGGATTCCTTCTACATACCCTCTTCTTTTTTCTTTAGTTTTTGCTTGTCTTTTATTATTGCTTGCATGTGCCACTTCTGCCAGCATCTTAACACCCCCATCTTCACAACATTTGTTGTCCCACTATTCTAAAATATAAATGTATAACTGCTCACATCGTGTTAGGTACTAAGCCTAATTTATGCATAACAAATACATTTTCAAAAATGCAGGCTTTCTACTTCTCCATTCATTACGTGAGCACTTTCCTGAAGTTTTCGTATGTGTTTTGCAGTAATAATATGACACACAACACAATGCATCCATGAAGAAAATAACCGTCAAAATGAAAAGCTGCAGTGTCTTAGAGGGCCATCACCTTTATCTAGTGGAAACTGTACACACACTTTATGAAGTTGTGTATAGCACTGTAAAACATATCACATCATTTTCCAGTCCCGAAAGCTGTTTACCAGCAGCTAGCTCATATTTTCTCCAGACTCAGTCATATGAAATAAGTGTAGAACTTGGAGGAAGGAAGGACTTTACAACAGTAACCACAGAAACAGTTTAAAAAGCACCGATTCTGCAATTGCAGCTGAAAAATAATATATCTGAGCAAGACTGAGAGCAACTTCTCCAAAAGTCTGATCAAAAATCACTAACAAAACCAGTCTGAACAAAATGTTTTACCTTCCTAAGTGTTTGACAGTACAGTAAGGTGGTCACTGGAGATACCCCTGGCATACCAATCGCAACAAAAACTGTAATGTGAATAACAAGTATACTGCATATCTGCACAAGCACCAAGGCAATACAGAATAAAACCTTATCCATCAAGTCTCTCCCATAAATGGTCCCCCATAAAGATGCAAATTTTAATGTACCTTTTAGTATTTTAGTATGCATTTTAGTATTTTGACAAGAACCAATTCCATAAAAGAAAAGCCACTGCAAAGTTGGAGAAAAAAATCTAGATGTGAATTTAAACTTGAAAAAGATCAACAGCAAACATTTCATAATAATCTGATAAACAATCAATTCTGATTTTATAAAGAGCAAAATTCTTCAATTCTTGAGATAAACTGCAGATTTGATTGTGAAGATTTACTAGATTGTACCACACTCTCACTTTCTGCTGTTTTATACACTGCAAACAAGCTGTGAACTGAATTTTCAGCTAAACTTACAAGTTAAAGCACATGAATGATCACAACATTCAACTTTTCTTTCCCAGTATAAAAAGAAGAGAGTGGCAACTTGGATGGGAGACAGATATGCTTTAGACACAGTCTGTCAAAATCATTTCCAGACACAGGTATTTTAAATGAACTACATTTGCATCATTTAAATGACTCCAGTTTCTTGTTTCTGTCTGGCTTCATTGCGAGCTCTGCTCCTATTCATCCACCTGTTGATTGAGAAAGCATAGTGTACGTGAGTTTAAAATCCTAGGGTCAGATTTTTTTGTCAGAGTGTGAGCCTCCTAGCAGCTCTGTGCATCTTAGACTGTGTGCTGGAACTGTCAATGCACTTCATTACTGCTAGGTGTATGGCCAGTTTCTAGGTTAGTATTAGTGTTGTTATCCATCTTCTGCAACAGCGCGGGAAGATCGAGCACAGAAGAAATAACGTAGTGAGGTACCGGGGCAGTATCTAAGGGGGTCGTCATGGTTTTGTTTAGCCAGACAGTTGCTTTCAAGCCTGCGTTCAGGCCTCCTTGGATATCTGTGTCTAGAGAGTCGCCAACCATAATGCACTCGGTGGGCTGCACCCCCAGAAGATCGCAGCAGTGGTGGAAGATGGACGGCGCCGGCTTCTCCTCTTTCTGCTCCCCTCCCACGACGATGGCATCGAAGTAGGGCTGGCAGGCGCACGCCTCGATCTTCTCGCGCTGCGTCTGCCTGTCGCCGTTGGTGAGGAGCAGCAGGCGCACGGCCTTGCGCAGCTCCGTGAGCATGCCCCGCGTGTCCTCGGCGAGCGTGAGGTGCCGCAGGCGCGTCGCCTTCC